GGAAGTGAGAGCCCTTAGGTTCGAATCTCGTGGATGGCGAATTCGATACCAAATTAGGCTGCCCATTGTGTGGTTTTGCCGAACTCCCCCTCCCCTTAGTGTAAAAATATCAATGTACTAAACAAAAACACCGAGTTTATAATAACTCCCTGCCATTTTGTAATAATCACTGTTTCATTGATTTCTGAAGGTATGCCCTACATTTGGTGCATCATTGATCAAGAGGGTTCTTTACAATTTTGTTCCAGATGAGTTTTGCCCAGACCCAATTCCTGAAGCAGTTTTTGAGGCTCTTGATTATGAGGTAACTAAGTGGGCCTCTAATTCTAATATCTCCGCACATAACTATTCAGCTTATTTACTGAACTGCATTCCTGTATGAATGGTGTAGGACTGGTTATATATAATTGATTGTTTATTATTCTAACTGGCTATCCTCTGAACAAGAATCATGGATTCGGGGCGGAAACCCTTATCTTTGTAGGGTTTAATTTTGCATTAATCTTTTTCACTTTTTATTTATTTAGGAGGATTTGGAAGCTGAAGCAGAGTCAGCTGCAAGTTTCCCATGCAACGCAAATCCTACAGTGTATTCACCACCTCCAGCTGCTTCACTACTAGGCATTATAGGAGATGTGGGAAGTCCAACTTTCTCTAGGAGTGGGTCATCAGTGCTTAAGAAATCTTATACAAGTGATGACGAGCTTGATGAGTTGGATTCACCGATGACTTCAATCATCATAGACAATTCTCCGTTTTCTCCCAGTCCATTGGCAGCCTCAACGCCGAAGTGGAAGGGTGGTCAGAAAGCTGTCAGGTATCAACTCCTCCGTGAAGTTTGGAAGGATAGCGAGTGATCTTCCCTTTCATGTACGTATCTGATATACTCGGGAAGGTTGTTCAATTTGGGGGGCTCTCTGTACTTCACGCTTGTACATAGATGAGTATTTATACAACGGTACAACCATATGAATGTTGGAACAGTTTGTTCCAGAGCAGTGGCTATCGGGTTAGCGGCTGTAATCTGTAGGCTTTCATGGAAGCCTGCTATTTTTTTGAATAATGATATACCTAAGCATAATCTCGGTTTCCTTGTCTCGTTGTCTATGGACTCGAAACATAGGAGCAGGCGTTTCGTCTATGAACGACTTATGCAAATGCTGAACGATTCATTCGAACTGACTTTTGAGGATGTTTAAGGAAGTACCCGCTCCTCGAATGCAATAGTTATAAACAGAGCAGCAGGAATACAGTTCAAGAACTTCAGGCTACAGTCGCATATATATCTGGTTATCCTTGATTGCACCTGCAAAAACCCACGACGAAAGTTCATGAGCCGCTAGCTGAGCGGAAGAGAGACAAGACGATGAAAGATATAAGACAAAAACCCGAGAAAGAAACCAAGCAAGGAGCTAGAACCTATTGTGCCTTCTGGTGCATACGGTTTTTCCAGTTAACATATGAGTAGGGAATGAAGAAATTAAAGGATGATACATTCCTGATCTCTTGGGATTGTTTCCCGTTTTCATCATGATTTCCAGATTTCCCTGTTTTATTAAAACATTCCCTTTATGTATTCTTTGTAGATTAATTATACTTGTAAATCAAGTCATTGTACACTATTTAAATCAATGATAATGCACCCTCTAAGGTATCGAGGGATTGAGCCAAAATACCTTCTTTTACTTTTGCTGTCTTGTCTGCCATTCCTCCTTTGAGTTATCTTTTATGGTACTCAGAGCCAGTGACTAACGTCTTTTTTTTTTCTTTTCGGATTCTTCCTACTTTTCTCCATGGCTGCCTCAACCAGTTCGACTACTCCTTCCTCCGACATCTTCCCTTCTGTTTCTCATGCGATCTCCATCAAACTTGACTCTTCCAATTATCCTCTTTGGTTGGCTCAGTTGCTACCTGTTCTTCGCAGTCGTCAATTGTTGGCTTTTGTTGATGGTACTTCCATCTGCCCCTCGGCGTTCTTGTCCGACGATACCGGCAACGCCTCTTCCAAACCCAACCCCGCGTATGCTGACTGGGTTCAGAAGGACCAGCTTGTTCTTTCTTGGATCAATGGCTCTCTTGGTCACCAGGCCCTCGCCGCCACTGCTCGTCATTCCACTGCCCGTGATGTTTGGGTTGCTCTTCAGCAGCGTTTTGCTTCTACAAACCAAAGTCGCATTCTTCAGCTTCGTACTGCCTTCTTCTAGACCAAACGAGGTGATTCTTCAATTTCTGACTTTCTTGATAAGATCAATGGTATTGCAGATCAATTGGCCCTTGCCGGGGCACCTGTTTCTGCTGATTACATGGTGCCGGTCGTCATGTCTAATGTCAGCCCCAAATTTGAGAACACTGTTGCTGCTGCTCAGGCTCGTGACAACCCCATCTCCCTTCCTGATCTTGAGGCTCTTCTTCTCGCTGCTGAACTCCGCCTTGCTGATCCTCCTGCTCCGCCGGACTCCAGCGTCTCGGCCCTGGTAGCCTCCCGCGGCTCTTCTGCCTCTCGTGGCCGCTCCTCTTCTGATCGCGGCGGCGATCGTGGCTCTGGCCGTTTCTCCCGTGGGGGTGGTCGTCCTCAACATGATGGGTCTCGCAACAATGGTGGTGACGACTATCGTGGCTATCGCGGTGCTGGTGGTTTCCATGACCGTCCGTTTCGCGATCGTGGTGGTGGTCGTCCTCAGCACGATGGCTCTCGCTTCCGTGGCTCCAACAATGCTTCTAGGGTTCTTGGTCCAGCCCCATATCACGGTTCCTCCCGTCCTCGCTGCCAGATTTGCAATACTTTTGGTCATGGTGCTCTTGACTGTGCTCAACGCCATAATTTAGCTTATGAAGGTCGTCCTCCTTCTTCACGTCTCACTGCCTTGACTGCTCAGCACTCCCAGCCTTGGCTCCTTGATTCCGGGGCCAACTCGCATATCACCAATGATCTCAATGCTTTGTCTCAGTCCCGTGATTATCGTGGTGGTGATTCCGTCGGTGGTGTCGTTGGCGGTACAGGTTTGCCCATTAACCGTATTGGCTCCTCCACTCTCTCTCATAATAATATTTCTTTCAAGCTTAATGATGTTCTTCATTGTCCGGATGCCTCTACTTCTGTGTTGTCTGCTAATCGGTTTATGTTGGATAACAATTGTTATATTACATTGTTTCCTTCTTGTTTCTATATTCAGGATATGGAGACGGGGACGATTCTTTTTTCGGGCAAGAGTAGCAATGGCTTTTATCCCTTTTCCTCTTCATCACCGACTGCTCATGGTCGTGCTGCTTTTCTTGGTGTTTGTGTTGGTAGTGATGTCTGGCACTCTCGTTTAGGTCATCCATCTTCTTCCATTTTAAAATTTCTTTTTTCTAGGCATTCGAATAAGTTGCCTGTTTCTGGCAACCTCAATCTCAATACTTTTATGTGTCATTCTTGTCCCTTAGGCAAAAGTGTTAAGTTACCTTTTTCTGCATCATTGTCTGTTACTCAAGCTCCTCTTGAGCTTATTCACTCCGACGTGTGGAGTGCGTCCAATAAATCTGTTAGTGGTTTCCAATATTATGTTCTTTTTGTTGATAATTTCTCTCGTTATTCTTGGATTTATCCCATGACATTGAAATCTGAAGTCTTTAATATTTTTACTCACTTTAAGACCTTGGTTGAAAATCAATTCTCCACTAAAATTAAGATGTTTCAGTCTGATGGTGGGGGCGAATACACTAGTCACCAATTCAAGAATTTTTTTCTTCACAATGGTATTCATCATTGTCTCTCATGCCCTCATCATCCCGAACAAAATGGTTTGGCGGAACGCAAACACCGTCACATTGTCGACACTGGACTTACTTTAATGGCCCATGCGTCGATGCCTCCTGCCTATTGGGCTGAGGCCATGCACACAGCAGTTTATCTTCTCAATCGCCTCCCCTCTAAAGTACTTGGTTTTATGTCTCCTTATCAAAAGTTGTTTCTTAAGGAACCTGATTATAGTTTTTTAAAGACCTTTGGGTGTGCATGTTTTCCCTACCTACGACCCTATAATAATAATAAACTCCAATTTCGTTCTACTAAATGTGTTTTTCTTGGTTACTCTCTCAATCATCAAGGTTATCGGTGCTTAGACATCTCTACTAACCGCATCTTTTTATCACGCCATGTTGTGTTTGATGAAGGTAGAAATCTTACAAATATATGAAGAAAAGCACTTTTACAAAAAGCACAAGGAGTTCATGTAATTACTCAAGTTAGGAATAACAAATTAACAGATATCCAAGAAACCGAAATCTTCCATTCTAAATATTGAAACAAATAAAAGCTTTCGTAATCGAAAACAATCGAAAACAAAATTAACAAATGAAACCTTCATTACCAAGCAGATTTTCCAGTTCCGACATCGGTTGAATTCAGATTAAGAAGTTGACAAAAAAAAAAAAAAAATGCCACTTATGACAGAAGAAACGATGAATGTCTTCTGTTTGCTTCTTGATTTTGATGTGCAAAACTGCAATTGGATCTCAGCCGTTGAATGAGCTCACAGCTGATCTGACAACAATTCCTCCACAGTCCACAGCTTGTTGCCTTCTAGAATCGAATTCAATGCTTTTTATTTTGCTTTTTTCAAGTTTCAAACTTTCAAGTTTTCACTTTCAACCAACTGCCAGCGGCTAGGAACCGTTACGCGCGTCATTTTTCAAGCACACTCAAACCACGAGGTAAAGTCGAGATATCTTTCGGTGCGTTGGAAATATGATTCAGTACACAATGTATATTATAATTAGTTGGAAACGTGAAAAAAAAAAGAAAATTTCTAACCAACTGTATTTATGACATTTAGTATACTGAACCGGGACTGAAAAATTTCTCTGTAATGTCTTTTCGTGTATGTAACAAGTGTCAATCATCCAGAGAACTCTCCCGCTAAAATCATTAGGATCCGCTCGTTTCCCACTGGCAGCGCGCCAAAAAAGAAACTGCGCCCCTTCCAAACAATTGGTTTTGGGTTGTTACTATTATCAGGTGCTTTCAAATTTAGAGCAGAAGACATCTCTTTAAAATACATATAAGGCCGAATCCTTGACCACTTTTCACGATATGGATTCCCGGGCATCCTTGGCATCCCAGGTAACAACATCGCGTTCGTTTTCATAGAAATTCTCTTTACTCTTGTCCTTTATCGAAAAATGGCATGCATCGATATTGTATTGATATTGTTAACAATGTACTGATAACATGTCGCTGCATTTTATTTGCAATAGTGATATCAATGGATTGTCAGTGATACGTCGACAGTCTCTTCGAGAGTTGAACTATTATTTTTCATATATGTCAGAATTTGATTCAATATTTTGGCATGAAGTACCATTTTTCATGTACATGTCTGAATAAATTTGGAATTTCTCAGGAATCAACAGCACAAATCAACATGATCAGTCCCAGAAAACGCCCGTTGCACACTTGTGCGGTTTCATTTTTAGCGGTAGCTCATAGAGCCTTCACCATAGCCCAAGGTCTTAATGGACCGCTAGGGTTCATAATAAAAATTGCAGCCAGACTAATAACGTTGGCCGGACCCTTGGCTTATGCCTTGAAATACCAATGGGTCACAATGACAATCCTCTCATTCATCGACGGTCGAATTTTAGCCCTTGAAGGCATGATCGAGAGATTTTACCCTCCTTCACACATTGTGTTCGACAAGATCGACGACCTTGTCCAAGTCACCGAATCCCTGCCTGGAAAATTCGACAATGCTGTTAGCAAAATCCCTGCACATTTCCATCACATTTCATTTTTCGACTGGACGTTGGTTCGTGCCATTTGGCTGCTGAATTTTGTTGCGGCTACATTGACTAACTACTGGAGAAAGTCAAAGGGTACGAGGGAGAAGGAGATTAAGGTTGATACAAGCAGCAATATTGATCACAACTGTCAACCAGGTTCGGTTCATGAGGCCGACCAGTCTTCCCCAAATTGTAATAAGATTAATAAGGGTAATAATTTCTCTTCTCCGCGTAAAGCTGTTACTTACAAGGACGTGCTTCTACAGAAGGGAACAAATAAAGGAGGGATTGGAAAAAAAGAAGAGAACAAGGTTAACAACAGGGAAGAAGTGGAGAGTAGTGTTGCTGATGATGATGAAAGTGAAACCAACTCTAAGGATGATCTCATCGAAATGTTCGAATCATCCTGGCTTATGACATCGCCGGGAAAAAATGATGAAAATTACGCGCCGCGTTCTGTTTCATTCGCTTTTTAACAAAAATAGCAAGAATTTAACCACTTTTTCATGAATAACAAAAAATGTGCAAAAAGAATGCTATTCTTCAAAAAGTGTATTTTTGCTAGTTTTGTTAATGTGAAACATCAAGGTAATTTTTAATGTTTTAGAAGGTAAATTTGTAGATACGAAAATGGCAGTGTGGTTTGGCAGTCCAAATCAATAAACCTTGGAAGTGAGTAGGATTTCTGGTGTTATGGTAGAGAACTGAGTATCAGTTGGTTCTGTACTTTTAGTTTTGGCAATATCAAGCATGCAATGGTTGTAAATAAAATGTTACATTGTTGTGGAATTCACAAAATCCAGTGTGCTCTCAAAATTTGCTGCACAGCAAAACCTAATTTTCTCTTGCATTGTTCTCATTAACACTTATTGTTTTTTAGCTCTCAAACGATAGAAATTTTGCCACAATTGAGAGGATACGAATACATCTTTTCTCTGGGGATACGTATATATATGGATGGGGTACCGCTAGAAACACCAAATATAATCATACTTTACTCATAAAAAGAAGTAGAATGTAAGGTTTAAGTCTTAATAAGTACTGACACATCATTTGATGAATAAATTAATGCGTTAAATATTTTCAGTCGAAAAGTCCACCTGTTATACTATTAATTTAAGCTGGGGTACCGTGGCTTGAAGAAAATGAAGCCTATGTATCTGAATTCTTAACCAAAAAGACATGGAAAACGCGGAGTACATGGAGAACATGAGTAATGTGTACAAAGAAAAAGGACACAAAGAACACGAATCAAAAGTATTTTTTGCCACGAGTCCATCATGTTGAGGAGCCGGCGGCGGCTTAATATTACTTAAGCCGAAAACCCACGAGGTAGCAGTCAAATTCAAAACCCACCACTCCTACATCATGTTTCCTTTTTGGATTGACATTTGGACGCTGAAACGTGCAAGGTAAAAGGAGATGGTACCATGCTTGAAGAAAATGAAGCTTATATATCTGAATTCTTAACCAAAAGGATGTGGAAAACACGAAGAACACAGAGAACATGAGTAATGTGTACAAAGAAAAAGGACACAAAACACGAATCAAAAGTATTTTTTTGCCACGAGTCCATCATGTTGAGGAGCCGGCGGCGGCTTAATGTTACTTAAGCGGAAAACCCACCAGGTAGCAATCAAATTCAAAACCCACCACTCCTCCGTCATGTTTCCTTTTTGGATTGACATTTGGATGCTGAAACGTACACGGGAAAAGGAGATGGTACCGTGGCTTGAAGAAAATGAAGCCTACGTATCTGAATTCTTAACCAAAAGGACATGGAATACACGGAGAACACAGAAAAAAGGACACGAAGAACACGAATCAGAAGTATTTTTTGCCAGTTGAGGAGTCGGCAGCGGCTTAATATTACTTAAGCCGAGAACCCACCAGGTAGCAATCAAATTCAAAACCCACCACTCCTCCATCATGTTTCCATTTTGGATTGACATTTGGATGCTGAAACGTACAAGGGACGAGAAGATGGTACCGTGGCTTGAAGAAAATGAAGCCTATGTATCTGAATTCTTAACCAAGAGGACATGGAAAACGTGGAAAATACGGAGAACATGAGTAATGCGTACAAAGAAAGAGGACACGAAGAATACGAATCAAAAGTATTTTTTGCCACGAGTCCATCATGTTGAGGAGCCAGCGGTGGCTTAATATTAAGCCGAAAACCCACCAGGTAGCAATCAAATTCAAAACCCACCACTCCGCCATCATGTTTCCTTTTTGGATTGACATTTGGATGCTGAAACGTGCAAGGGAAAAGAAGATTATAATGTTGTTGTTGCGGGCGGTAGAATGGTTAACAAACAATATTATTTACGCTGAGGGAGATGAGGTAGGCTTAACCTCATAATAGGATAACAATAATGTGGTTCAAATCCGCATTTGGTGGGAATTGAATCTAAAACATATCATTTACAAGTGAAGAGAAATACAATTAGAGTACCTATAAATTTGGTATCAAAACCCAACCACGGTACCTTATACATTCTGTATCAAAACTCACGGTCTATAAAATCAAATACATTGAATAATCAACATGTAGCTAAGGTATTCGACCTCTAGTATAGAATCAGGTTCGATTGCGATAATTTACCTCTTGAACAAATATAATATCACATTTTATGTCTGCTTTCGAAAGATTGTGTTTGTAAATAAAAATTTCAAAATTCAAACTAAACAATCTAAAAGGGAAAATACTATTTATAACATTAAGGACAAATGGAGCAGCAAATTCAAACTCGTATTAATGTAATAATGTGGTCTCGTAATGGAGGTAGTGTATTGTTGGTCTTCTACAATTCAAAAAAGTTTAAAAAATAATAAAGAGCTGGTTTGAAAGTATGACTGAAAGTGCTTTTGGTGAAACTATTTTGAAACTAATTCTTGGGTAAAAGACTGTTTACTAGCCTCATGTTTCATGGTTTTCAACATTTAGTACATCAAGTTTTTTTCGTCTCAGAATCATACCTAAAGTGTAAATTTTGAAATAGTCTCATACATCCGTTAGTCAAACTGTTAAATCTGCCGTTAATTGTGACGTGGCGCCCATGTGGACAATGACTGGGCGCCACGTGTCAGAGCCACGTTTTTTTCTTCTTCCTCCGAATCTGGGGAAGTTTTTTTTTTTTTCTTCTTCTTCCTCCTTCTTCCTTCTTCCTTCTTCCTTCTTCTTCATCCGAATATGCCCAGATTCGGTATTTTTTTTCTTCTTCTTTCTTCTTCTTCCTCCTTCTTCCTTCCCCTTCTCCTTCTTCTTCTTCTTCTTCTTCCTCCAAATCTGGGGAAGTTTTTTTTTTCCTTCTTCTTTCTTCTTCCTTCTTCCTTCCTCTTCTTCTTCTTCTTCTTCTTCTTCTTCTTCTTCTTCTTCTTCTTCTGAATCTGCCCAGATTCGGCGTTTTTTTCTTCTTTTTTCTTCTTTCTTCTTCCTCTGACTGCAACTTTTTTTTCTTCTTCTTTCTCCTTCTTCCTCCTTCTTCCTTCCTCCTTCTTCCTTCCCCTTCTTCTCCTTCTTCCTTCTTCCTTCTTCTTCATCTTCCTCAAAAAAAAAAAAAAAAAAACCTTCATCTTCCCTAGATTCGGAGGAAGAAGAAGGAAGAAGGAGAAGAAGGGGAAGGAAGAAGGAAGAAGGAGGAAGGGGGAAGGAAGAAGGAGAAGAAGAAGGAAGAAGAAGAAAAAAAAAACTGAATCTGGGCAGATTCGAAGGAAGAAGAAGAAGAGGAAGGAAGAAGGAGGAATGAGAAGGAAGAAGGAAGGAGGAAGGAGGAGGAAGAAGGAAAAAAAAAGAAGAAACTTCCCTAGATTCGGAGGAAGACGAAGGAGAAGGAGAAGGGAGACGGAGGAAGAAGGAATAAGGAGAAGAAGGGGAAGGAAGGAGGAAGGAAGAAGGAGAAGGAAGAAGAAAAAAAAAAGTTGCAGTCGGAGGAAGAAGACGAAGAAGAAAGAAGAAAGAAGAAAGAAGAAGAAAAAAAAAAACGTGGCTGACACGTGGCGCCCAGTCATTGTCCACATGGACGCCACGTCACAATTAACGACACATTTAACAGTTTGACTAACGGATGTATGAGACTGTCTCAAAATTTACACTTTAGGTATGACTCTGAGACGAAAAAAACTTGATGTACTAAATGTTGAAAACCACGAGACATGAGGGTAGTAAACAGTTTTTTACCCAAATTTTTATGCTTTGTGTCCTGTAATTGTACACTTTATAAATTTTCTTTAAAAATAAAATTCAGTATTTAACTCCAATAATTTAACTTTAAATACAAATCAAAACATAGCATTACAAACTCAATATTTATCTCCCTTTGCCCTTGTACGCTTCAACAATCAAATGTCAATCGAAAAAGGAAATATGATCGAGAACTGTTGGGTTTTGAATTTGATTGCTACCTGGTGGGTTTTCGGCCTAGTAATATAAAGCTGCTGCCGGCTCCTCAACATGATGGACACGTGGCAAAAAATACCTTTGATTTCGTGTTCTTCATGTCCTTTTCCTTTGTACATATTATTCATGTTCTCCATGTTTTCATGTTTTTCATGTCCTTTTGGTTAAGAATTCAGATACAAAGGCTTCATTTTCTTCAAGCCACGGTACCCCATCTAAGGACTAGTTTGGAGTTGATGTGCTTTTCAAAAGTAAGAGTAGAATTGTTTTTGCTTTCTACTGTTTTGGATCCATGATTTGATAAAATAAAAAAAAACTTTTTTTTTCTTTTCCCAAATACAATTTTAGCCCCAATTTTTTTTATAAAAAGATGCTTATAAAATAATTTCAGTAATGTTAAATCAGCCTTCAATTAATAGCATAACAAGTGAACTTTTTGACTAAAAATACTAAGTAGGTTAATTTATTCACCAAATGATGTGTCAGTATTTGTTAAGATCTAAACCTTACATTCTACGTCATTATGTGAGTAAAATATGATAAGTAAATTGGTCCCATTCATATATATAGATACATATCCCAGTGAAAAGATGTATTTATGTCCTCTCAATTGTGGCAAAATTTACAGATTGGGAGAAGAAATGGATTTCTTGAGTTGCATACTACTAGGTCTAATAATTGCATGGATCTCAATTCACACCCTCTATTATTCGCTTGGAAGACGATCATTAGATACCACAAGGCTTCCACCAGGACCAAACCCACTTCCCTTCATTGGCAATCTCTTAGAGCTTGGCAACAAACCCCATCTCTCTCTCACAAAGCTTTCACAACGCTATGGCCCAATTATGACTTTGCATCTCGGCCAAATAACAACCGTGGTAATTTCTTCATCAACCATCGCCAAATCAGTCCTCCGAACCCATGACCAACTCTTCTGCAACCGAACCGTCCCTGATGCGCTCCAAGCCTGTCAACATTCCAAGTACAGCATGGCGTGGATACCGGTTTCAGCTACATGGAAAAACCTCCGCAAAACATGTAACTCGCAATTGTTCACCACTAAAATTCTAGACGCCAACCAAGCCAACCGTCACCTGAAAGTGCAAGAGCTCATAT